CTTTTAGACCTCGGTCACAAGACTTGAAACGCGAGCAGATTTCCATCTTAATCGGGTTTATGTGGATGTCAGGCTCCGAATAAACGCTGGCCCCCGCTCTGTTCAGGTCCCAAACGGACAGCGAGGGGACGGCGAACCCCGGAGACGTGTCCTGCACCAAGACCGGCCAGACCTCCATCGAGGACCTGTCAGGTGAGTGACCGCTCCCCCCCTTTGCTCTGCCCGAAACGCGCTCCGGCTCCATGTGCCAAACTGCCACCCCCCCCCCCAGGTGAAGACGCAGAGACCAGGCGGTTGCGTACCGTCAAAAACATCGCTGACCTGAGGCAGAACCTGGAGGAGACCATGTCCAGCCTGCGGGGAACTCAGGTCACACACAGGTGAGTAAAAACCCAAAGCCCCCACTTCCTGATCAGATGGGTCACACACAACTTTATTTGTTCAGGCGTAATGCAAGCGGTTGGATTTTTCTTCCTGTCCAATGCAGAACTTTGTCTGCTAAGTAACCAGTAGAAAAAAAAACGGACCGTTTCCAGGGTAACGGCTGAACTCCAGCTGGTTAAGTCCGAGGCGCTTACGGGAAGTCGGAGAAAAGCGTGTCGCGCTGGGAAACAAAACCCCACTGTGTGAGGCAGTTCCGCCCCCCCCCCAGTCAGAAATGCTCCAAATCTGGCTTTATGGCGGGGATGGGACCGCGGCCATCCGGGTTAGCGAGGGGCGGGTTTCTCTTTGAAGTCTCGCCGGTTGGGCTTAGATCTAATCACCTCCGACACAGATTTATCAGTCCTGGTTTTCCAGCTGTTTCCAGCTGTTTGCTTCCCGTTACACTCGTCTGACCTCCCGGCTTGTTGACCGTTTGTGAAACTCTTCTCGTTCTCTGACCGCAGAGTCATTTAAGTGGTTTGATCTGTCTTCAATCATATCTCTGGTGTCTAACCCCCCCCCCCCTTTTCTGCGTCAGCACCTTGGAAACCACCTTCGACGGCGGCGTGACCACAGACATCAGCTGTGGCGGCGGGGGCGGCGGCGGCCGGAGCATCCTCAGCCTCACCTCTGCCCGCTCCTCGCTGTCGTCGTGGCGACTGGGCCAGTCCAGCCCCCGGCTGCAGGCGGGCGACGCCCCCTCCACGGGGAACGGCTACGGCGGGCGGGCCGGCGGCGGCGGCGGGCAGGCCGGCCGCTACCTGTACCCGGGGCACCTGCGGCGGCAGCTGGCCGGCCGGGGGGGGGCGCTGTGCAGCCTGGAGCTGGGGGAGCGCGGCGGGGAGGACATGGAGCTGGACGGCGTCCCCGTGGAGGTGACGGGATACATGAGCGACGGAGACGTGCTGACCAAGAACGCCGTGCGCGCCGACGACGTCACCAGCGGGTACGTGTGGCCTTTCTCAGTCGGGGGGGAGGAGGGGGTACTCTTTAAAACAGGGTTTGCATATTTAGTTGGCAAAACCCTTAAAGGGGTCTCATCTGTGAAGATTCTCAGTCATCCAGGTCATGGTCAAGCTTGGAAAGTTTAGGCCACTGGGCGTAGAGTCAACGACCCATCAGAACCCCCTAATGTCCATTACCGCCCCCCCAGGTCACCTCTGTGGCCCAGCCAGTAGGAGGGATCAGAGCCATCTTTAGTTTTTTATTTTTCCCACCTACATTTTATTAACCTCAGAGCTCCACCTTCAGTCAGAACTGATGAAGCCTCTTGGATCAGAGGCCAAACGTCTTCTGGAAAACGTCCCCTCCGATGGCCTAAACTGAACTTTCCAAGCCTGAAAAGGGGGGGGGTCGGTCTGGAAGCGGCCAGCAGAGGGCAGCGCTGTGCCTGAATGAGCCCACCCAGAGCAGAGGGGAAGTTTGGCTCTCCCAGCTTGGCCACAGGAACAGAGGTGGCCGGAATCAAGCTCAGTGGGGACCCGAAAAGCCCCCCACCCCCCCATCTCTTCTTTGATGAAGTGCCTCTCAAACCCGAGCAGCCGTCCTCGGCGTTATCAGATCTAGAAACGCCAAAGCTGACGAGCCCCCTTTCCGCTTTGGGGGCCCTTTAAATGAAGACTGACGTAAATGAAGACGAGCGAGGGCAAAGCCAGACAGATCTCTTAGAAAAAAAGACGGGGAAATGACTTGACCCGGTGCCCCCCCCTCCGGATGATTGGGCTGATTCACCAGCCCCGGGGCAGAGCCGGGAACAGACTCTGTGCAACCGTAACAGAGAGAAGCCACACCTGGACAGGTGAGTGACGCAGACAGCCGGGGGGGAAACCGGCCCTCATCTGCTGCCTGGGGGGGCACAGCAGAACAGGGGAAAAGGATTTCCTCATAGTGATCCATGGCTCTGCTGGAACATTAGGAGGTGTGCTTCCTTTTTATTTTAACCGATCGATCCTACTCAAACTAAAAGACCCACAAAGCCTCACGACTCAGAGCCCGGTGCGTGCCGAGGTCTCACTCTGCTCGTCGACACGCTGGAGTTATCGGAGGTTTTTCCATTTAGATGAAGTTTGCATGTGAACCTAAGAGATGAGATGATCTTTTATTCAAATGGGGGCACGTTGGCTACATCAGGCTCTTTGTTATTGGCAGAGAGGTGGGGGTGGAAACTGTGTGTGTGTGTGTGCGTGTGCGTGTGTGTGTGTGTGTGTGTGCGTGTTTGTGTGTGTGTGTGTGCGTGTGTGTGAGAGTGCAGGCATGTGGGTGTATGTTTGGTAGGTGGAGCTGCCCTGTGGGTTAACCATTTAAAGCAGACACAGACTGATGACCTCCCCCTATTCTCTGAATCCTCGGGCTATTGCACGGGGACTTCGTCTTCCACAGGGGGGAGGGAGGTGGGGGGACAGGGGGGTGTTCACCCAGAGAGGAGGAAGTCGGTTCACAGCTCGATTGTTTGCCACTTGTTAAATGTCACTTAGCGGTCCATTTACAGATGAGCCCCCCACCTCTCACTGTATTTGGGGGTCTGGGGGTCGGGGAAAGCTGCTTTAGGGCCCGTTTCCTGTTCAGGCTGAGTTCAATGACCCCGCTGTAAACGTCGGTATTTTTAAGCGTTTCTCTTTCTTTTCTCAGTGACTGGTCGTCATTTGTCTTCATTTCCGTGTCACTAATGAGAACTGCTGCTTTTCCCTTCCATCTCTCTCCCTTTCTGCTAACGTGCTGACATCGGCTTTAAGCATTCATCCTAGACTCGTGAAAAAAAAAAAGGAGGAAAACTGCCATTTTTAGAAACGATTTAACTGGAAATGCTGCAAATATTAACGAGGCTTTAGAATCTGGACTTTGATGCCACTTGTTATACATCCAGTTTCACAACTGACAACATCCCTTTAGATGGATAGATAGATAGATAGATAGATAGATAGATAGATAGATAGATAGATAGATAGATAGATAGATAGATAGATAGATAGTGTTTTTACCATCTCAAACCTGCTCCCGTTTATTCCTTTGGTTCCTCTGGTCCACAGAGATGGGGCTCACTCCTACCTCCCCCCCACCTTCTTTGCTCGGGGGTGTTTTTGCCTGATCTACCTCTCAGCCCTCCCTCCCTCCCTCGCTCGCTCCCTCCCACTTCCCTCCTCCCATCCCTCCTTCCACATGCAGCCCACACCTCCAGCCAGTAGAGAAAGCGCGTGGAGCTGAGCAGAGCGTCTGCATACCGGCGCCGGGCTCTCACAGAGCAACACACTCAGACCACACTCGCTAAGAACGCCGGGGTCACCCCCCCCCATCAGCATGCCCATACACACCTCCACCCACAGACCAGCAGCCACCACTGAGCAGCTGGGTGCGCACCGGGTGGAGATCTGACGCCAGACAGCAGGCAGGC